GGTGTTAAGGTTTGGTTCCTGGAGAGGATATATCTAGAAAGTCTAAGGGATGCTGATAAAGCCCAGGGCACATCTATCAGGCTGGCTTTCCATAGGGAAAGGAGTCATATATCTAAGGTAAAGAAAGAGCCTTCAGTCCAGGGCTAGAGTTTCCCATATCACATTCTTTGGAAAAGGACTCCTTTGGTGATCCCTGCTCACTATCAAATCACATACTACATAGATGCTCTCTGTGCTACTGAGCCCTGGAGGACTGTTAAGGCAACCTTGATTCCTCAATGGAAAATTTCAAATCTAGAAGACTCCGGAGCAATATACTCAAAGTTCTATAGACCAGGGATGCCAATCTAGACTACTGCAACCAGGAAACTATCTGTCATTGTTAAAGGAGAAAGAAAACCTTTCCATGATACTAAAAGGCTAAAATAATTCCTACCCACCAATCAGCACTACAGAAAATACTGGGAGCAATATTTTGGACTGAGGAGAGGAATGAACATAGTCAAGAGACCCTACAAGGAAAGCAAATGAAACAAATGAAGCTGTAATTACTGAAATACAAAGTACAACTAAAAACACAAGCAGCAAAACAATAACAACAATACATACACAATAAAATGGCTGCAACCAAGACACAACTTTCAATAATAATTTTAAATATTAATGGCTTCAACTCTCTAATCAAAAGACAAACTGAATGGATTAAGAAACAAAACCCAATTTTCTATTGTCTATAAGAAACTCAGCTTTAAAGAATGGGAAAAGGTATTCTAAACAAATGGGAGTAGGAAGCAAGCAGGCATTGCCATCTTAATATATGACAAAGTAGAACTCAAACTAAAACTAATCAGAAGAGATAAAAAGGGACACTTTATTTTATGCAAGGGAATGGTCAACAAAGAAAACATTACTATTCTAAACACATATGCACCAAACTCTGGTGTGCCTAATTTCACTGTAAGTGTACTGTTGGAATTTAAGATACAGATTAACATCAACACATCAATAGTAGGTGATTTCAACACTACACTTTCTCTAATAGATCATTTGAACAACAACAACAACAAAATGAAGGGAAAAACATCAGAATTAAGTAACATCATACATCAAATGGACCCAACATAGCTACAGAATATTCTACCCAAAACCTTACCCAGCAGCTCATCAATGCTTCTCCAAAACAGACAACATTCTGGGACACAAAACAAATCTCAACAAACTTAATGTATACTACCCACCAATAATGTAATAAAACTGAAAAATTGATAGCAAGCAAGCAAACAGCCACTACCCCCTCTAGTTAAGTACACAAACTCATGGAGATTGAACAACTTGATACTGAATGATAAATGGGTCAAAGAAAAAAAATCAAAAAAGAAGAAAATCTTCTTGGAATGAGATGAAAACAAAAACACAACACAAAATCTCTGGGACACACTGACAATATCACCATAAGGGAAATTGAGAGCTCTAATCCCTGACAATGAAAAATCAGAAATAGCACAATAAATGGCTTAATTGTGCAATTCAAGAATTGGAAAAAACAACAGACAACAAACCAGCCCCAAACCCAGTGGATGGCAAGAAATAATAAAAGTCAGAGCATAAATCAATGAAGGAGAAACAAAGAAAACAGTACAAGGAAAAAATACATCTGCTTCTCTGAGAAGATATAGAAGATCCACAGACCCTTGGCCTAGCTAACCGGGGGGGGGGGGGGAAGGATCTAAATGAATAGGATCAGAAATGAACAAGGAAACATTACAATAGACACCCAAAAAATTTAGAGTTGTATAAAGGAATACTTTAAAATCCTATACTTGTTTAACCTGGAAAACCTAGTGGAAATGGATGAATTTCTAGATGTATCCAAACCACCAAAGTTAAATTAAGATGAGCTCAACAACCAAAGCAGACCCATAATAAATGGACTGAAACACCCAAGAAAAGTAGAACGAACTCCTACAAACTCTTTCTACAAATCCAATAATCTTCTAACATCAAAATCAGGCAAAGACACAACAAAGATAATTTTATAGGCCAATAATGAAGATTCAAAAATCCCCAACAAAAATATTTGAAAATCAAATATAGATACATATCAAAAAGATCATCCACCAAGATCAATTTGGTTTTATGCCAAAGAGTCAAGGATGGTTTACCATACATAATTCTATAAATGTATTAAACCATATAAGTGTGCTTTGAAGACAAATTGAATGATTATCTCAATAGACATAAAAAAAGGCCTTTGACAAACTCCAATATACCTTCTTCCTAGGATGGAGTAAGATTACAGGGAACAGTTCTCAACACAATAAAGTTAGTCAACACTATACTAAATGGAGGAAAACTCAAAGTAATTCCCTTAAAATTAAGGAATGAGACAAGGCTGTGTCCTTTTCAATATAATGCTTGAAGCTCTAGCTGGAGCTGTAAGACAAGGGAAAGAAAACAAGTCAAACCATCCCTAGTTGCCGATGGTCTGATATTATACATAAGAGACCCCAAGAGCTCCACCAAAAATTTCTAGAAATGATCAGCAATTCAACTGAGTTGGCAGAGTACAAAGTCAGCTTCAGCAGTAGCTTTTCTATAACCATCAACAAATACACTGGGGAAGAGATCATAGCCATAATCTCATTCATGACATTCTTAAATGAAAGAAAATACTTAGGAATAAGTCTAACCAAGGAAGTGAAAGACCTCTACAATAAAAACGTTACATTTCTGAAGACAGAGATTAAGGTAGACATCAGAAAACGGAAAGGATGTCATGCTCATGATCAGCAGAATTAAGATTGTGATAATGACAAGTGTACCAAAAGCAATTTGCAGATTCAGCACAATCCTAATCAAAATCCCCATGACAACCTTCATAGAAATAGAGAAAAACATCCTAAAATTTATATGTAACAACAACAAAAGACCCCAAAGTAATCCTCAGCAAAAAGAACAGTGCTTTAAGGATTACTGTTCTACTGTTGCAGTGGTATTACAAACTGATGCAGCCACTATGGAAACCAGTGTGGGGAACTCTCAAAAAGCCAAAAATAAGCCTACCAAAAGACCAGCTACACCACTGCTTGGCATGTGCCCAAACGACTCTTTATCCTACTCCGCAGACACTTGCCCACCCATTTCATTGCACCTTTTATTTACAATAGCTACGGAATGGAAACAACCTAAATGTCCTTCAGCCAATGAATGGATAATGAAAAACATGGTGCATATTCACAATGAAAGACTACTCAGATGTAAAGAAAAATGAAATATTGAATTTTTGCGGGTAAATGAATGGAACTAGAAAATGTTATGCACAGTGAGGCGATCCAGACCTAGAAAGACAAATGCCACATGGTCTCTCTTCTCTGTGATTCCTAGCTCCACATCTTCAGATATCAGTATATAATCTGGAGTAACTGTAGAAACCAGGAAAGTAAAATGACCGTGGTGTGGGTGGGAAGAAGCTCCAGGCATGGGGACAGCAGGAAGAGGTGATATGAGGGGGAAATGGGAAAAACAGGGAAGAGATCAATAACTGGGGGGAGGGGAAGATATCAATACAGAACAGGGAAGCAGAGGGATAAATAACACTCAGGATGTTTGAAAAGGGCACAGAGAATCATTATTTTGCATTTACCTAGAATTGCATATAAAATATATAAGTATATGTGCATACATAAATACAAGCACAAACACACACACACACACACACACACACACACACACACACAGTTTAAATGCAGTTACACCACTTTGGGCTAGCTATAATATTCCACCCAAGAGCCATAGACTATCTAACAAAAACCCTCATACCAGGCATGGGAGACCTCCTTTTAAATTATTGGGCAGGGGAGTTCAAAAGGCTCCTAAAACAATATAGGATAATGTTATTGCCCTTGGTTATCTTCCAGAAGCCAAAGGTAAGTCCTTGTTACTGAAGCCACTACACATTTTGGACATAGGACCCAGAGGATTTGAGATAACATTGACCTGAACACCTCCTCCCAGAAACTAGCTTTCATAGCATTAGAAAGCACCATAAAAGCTGCTGAGTGGTGGAAGCCATCAATAATTGTACCCAGCTTTGACACCTATGAACCATAGCAACCACCAGAGTGACAAGATATCCCTAAAGGGGCAATAGTGGTGCTTAATCTTAGCAGTAACCAACAGCTGTCTAATTGGATGCAAGGCCTACTAAACAGGAGGAAAATCATTCCTGGTACTCTAAACTCAGCCAACTACATGCTACATGTGGCTAGTGAGGGCATGGGTCTTAGAGGAGAACCTGCAACTGCCTAAAACAGAAGAATTCCTAACTATACTCTAAATGCTTACCTTCCTATGCACAGTTAAGGGTAGATCTTACCCTAACCAAAGAGGATCCTTTTTGCAGCTGGAGTCCATTTCAGAAGGCATGACTAGTCAGAATGCAGACAACAATGAACCCAGACCCTGTTGACACATCTACTACACAACTCCTACATCAAAGACCCAGGCATCATCGCGGAAGAGGGGGTGGGGAGATCCTCAGGGTCAGAAGACCAGGCAGTTTGCTATGAGACTGTGCCTTCTAGCTCTGACAGGGAAGCTACATGGCTGCCTCTCAAGACCTGGTGACCTTCCATCACTAACTGACATTCCAACGTAGAGGGGGGAAATCTCACGGGTCCCCATCCCAAGATGAGGAGCTACATGCAATTAACAACTGCTGAGAATTAGTCTTCTCCAGGGATGAGCCCCCTGGATGAGTGGTCATCCCTAAAAATTTACACATGCAGCAAGACTTCATGGACTGAGCAGCAGGCTCTATTTGTGTTTTTTGTCTATGTGTATATGTAACAACAATGGTTAAAGCAGAGGTGGTTATGAATTTGGAAGGGAGATGCGGGTACATGGGAGGGGTAGGGACGAGGAGAGCAAGCAGGAAAGTGATGTAACCGTATTTTAAAAATGTAAAAGACAACTCTGAAGGACATTCAAAGAATACTTACTGCTGGTGGAGGACAGATGGCTGTAGTCAGACCTGAAACAGAAGACGTAAGTAGGGTTAGGTATCATTTTTCCTTATCCAAGTGAACCACTTGAGCTAAAAGCTTTGTCAGCAATGTGGTAGTTAGAAGCTTTTGTCTGCTAAAGCTGTCACTGGTGAAAACAGGGATGAGGCCTCTTTAGTGCAAATTAGTGCTATGCTTGAATTCTGAAAACAAAACTGGGACCTTCGTATGGGCTCTGTGAGTCACGCTATGAGGTTCTCAGGCCCTCTTGATTTGTTGGAAAGTTTTTGAATGTTTGTTTATTTTTCTGGTGAGAAAGCCTCCAAGTTTTCAACAATTCCCCAAAAGAGTTACACTCTCATTAAGGAGCACTTTCCCAATGCTCACACAGCACTGCTGGGATGCTTCTTTGACAACATGATGGAAGGTTCCCTGAAGGAGGAGGACAGCCTTTGGCTGGGAAGTAGGGGTGTGTCCACACTCCAGGACTGGTTGACCAGCAGAGACCTTCAGCACAGGGCACATCAGTTGATTTCCATTCCCAATCTGGCTATCTAGGAGAGTCACAGGATGTGGACTGCGATGGGGAAGGAGACATGAGGAGAAGTGGTCCATGTGGGTTCTATGCTGAGAATTCAGTGGCTGGCATTGAGTGACTCCGAGAACGGGAATCCTGCCAAGTTCCTGCCCCATGGTCAGGGCTGTGGAGACTTTCCTCTTTGACAAGGAATTTTGTTTAAAAGCTGTTTATTCTCTTGCATCCCAAAGTCCTTCTTAGTAGGAAATTCATCCCTTAGGGATGCAGGGATTCACAGTGCCTGGCAGTTAGAGGATGTAGTTAGGCAAATAAACTGCTACATCTTGTTTAACTACATAGGTAATACACTCCTTTTATCGCCTTAGCCTCCAGTTGCCTTTCTTGAATTAGCCAATTTTTGCTCCATTTACTACATATAAAAGGTACATATAAACCTTTTTTAAAAATTGATGTTTGTGTGTTAAAATTACTACAGTGCTTAGATCACAATGCCCTGATTTATTGGTAAGGAATAAAATGGAAGGAAATGGACACTGGTTTTCTCTTTTTCAAATGAAGTATTTTAGTAATCAAAATCACTATTGTTTCAAACTGGAAAAAATAAATCTGCAAAGGGGATTTGCATATCTTTTTATAAACTGCACTCCCACATGCCAAATTTAATTTTATTTTATTAGTTGTCATATTAGTCGTGATGACAAAGTACCTGGTAAAAACAACTTAAGGAAGGGAAGAAGGGTCTATGTGAGGTAGGGAAGAATGTGAGGCAACTGGTCAACTTGTGGACAGACTGGAATTGGAGAGAGATGAATGCTGTGTTCAGCTCACTTCTGCCTTCTCTTTTTATTCAGTCCTGAGCCTCAGCCTGTGGGATGGTGCTACCCACATTCAAGATAGTTCTTCCCTGTTCAATGGAACCTCTCTGTTAGCATCTTCACTGACATGTCCAAAGCTGTGTCTCCTAGGTGACTCTAAGTCTAGGCAATTGATGTAGTCAGTGGAAAGTAAAAGTGGTACCATCTGTAAGGAGACCAGGAAGTGAGGAATGACAGGGTGTAGACTCACTGGGCAGAGTGGATGGACAATGAGCATGCTAGAAAGTAGGATGGGTTGGGCTAGGGCATAGTGCCATATTGGCTGAGGGAAAGGAAAGCATCAAGGATTGGTGACATACTGTAACCCAGGATTTCTGCACCCAGCATTGGCATGTTAAATTCTCTTTGGAGCCAGACGGAGCAGAAACAACACATGAGAAATCTAGCTATATAAAGTACAGTGAATGACCAACAAGTATCCACTATAATAGATCGAATGATAGCAAAGCCCCTTCCATCACACCACAATCATGGCCAGACTTTCCAGAAATTGTACAACTATCCACTTATGACGTGGAGAGTGTGATATTACTATGTCTCCTATAGCAAGAATGTGCCAGTTTTTTTCAGCTAGGGTTTGCCAAAGATGAGATTCACACAGGCAGGTTGTAAAGATTGATATGGACATAGGCTGAAAGTTACATTGAAATCATAGTTGAAGAATCTTGAAGTGCATTGGTAGTGCTAGCATGAAGGACACCGCTCCACAAGGTCCCCCTAAATTTCTCGAGACTTTCATGGCAATGTTGGGCTTACGCCTGCCAATTGGCCAGTCTCTGGCAGACTTGTGAACTCCAACTCCTTCACATAACAGCCAATCTGTACAATACCAATCTAATCATGACTTCCAAGGACGACTTAAAACACAGGCCATTTTCTCCAATGAAGGGTGGTCTCTGGCCAGCTCTATGGTCTTTGTCCCACTAAAACACAGCAAACAGAAGAGGCATCTAAGATTTCGCCTTGATTTTTGGCTTCTGGTTCTAAGTTTATGTAATCTGTGTGTCGACATTGACACAACAATAGAGGTCATGACTCCGAACCGATCTTTTCATTTAAAACCACTGAACATGCTTGGGTGGCTCCTGTATTTATCATGTCACATGAAGTGATGCTCGGCAATTTACTCAACTCCTTCTTCTTGGAAATGGCTACATGATAGTTCTTGATTTCATGTTAGCAAAATAGAGGGTGATGAGATTATTCATGAGTAAAGCTTTATATTTATTTACTTCCTTATCCTTAGAAAAATTGCCATGATTGGGAATGCTGACCAAGGCAAGGTATTTCCACTTCTGTGGCTCAAATTCTAAATAAGATTGTTTGATGGCAGTGCCAGTGAGAAACTGTAAAGCTTAAGACAACTTCATGAAGAACTAGATAAAAAATAATTTCAGAAAACAAGCAGGAGAAGCAGGAGCTTGACCAGACTTCTTTGAAGGACTTTGTGCTCCTCAAACTTATTTAGGGTAGGCAGGGACAGCCTGGGGTTCTGTTTATTGGTCTCACATCAAAAAGTGTTCCCCTGCTGGCTGCACATACAACATTCAAGCCTTTCAGAACGGAGCATGGAAGGCAAACTTAGGCCTTTTAAGATGTAAAATTCTTGAACCTATACAGTAGATGGCATATAATAATGCAAGAATTATTGTCTCACACCTGATATGTATAAGTATACACACATAAAAATATAATCCCCAAATATTTTTTAAATATTAGTATGTTAATTGCATGCATTCAGATTATATGAAAACATATTCTGTAATTAAGATAGCTCATCACTGCTAGAGGTCTCACTAGGCAATTTGCACAAATATTCATTTATTAAAGGAGTATCTTTCCAGAATGGCTTTTCCAGGAAATTATGGCCTAAGCACTGCACTTGGCCTTTCTGTAAAACTGACCTTCCTATTGTTGCAAACACATGGCTCCCTGTGTTGTGGACTTCCCCTGCTTTTTCTTAGTGCACTGAACGGAAGGTCATGGTAACAGAGTTAACTAGCCTCGAACACAAACTTCATACGTGGCTACAAAGTCATCTTGCCTTCTATGTAAAATTTCCTTTAAAAGCTGCTGGCCCATTTAAAATGTTTTTTGCGCCTACTCTTTCCCATGGACCTGCCTCATTTCCCAGTGCTCGCCGCTTCTTGTAGGCTGCTGTGAGCACTGCTTCTAGTTCCATTAAAGTTGTGACACTGCCATAGGCCAAAAGGTCAGTGGCAGTGGACACACAGGTAGAATTCCAAACTGCTGAAGAAAAATAATTCACTAGGTGTGGCCACGTGTGAAAGAGCACGGTGGAAGCCATGCCTTGGAGACTCACTAATGAAATTGTCACTGCTGGCACTGGCCTTTATTTGTATTTTCAAGGAACTGCCTGTCCCTCTGTTAAGAGATTCTGTGTCATAAGCTTCTTTGCCAGAAGTGCTTGCTAGTTTCTCCTAACAGCACACAGAAGCACAGGCTCCTTTCCCATTGGAGCTTCCAAATGACATCGACTGCCACAGAGCAGTCTGCCTTTGGTCTTGGCCCACAGTAGGTGTAGGTAGGCTGTAAAAGGCAGCTTTCACTCCAGAAGAAATCAAGGACTAATTAGAGAATGGTTACTGGGTGGGAAGCAGCCGAAAGCCCTGGGCGGTAGATCAATAAGCCATATTTATCGAGTCACTGCATCCTACTTGTAAAATAATAATGACAATGTCAAAGCATGGCCTGGATATTCTGAATGATGATGCCCAGCCTCCTTAAGGCATTGAAAAGCATCTGCGTGTCTACTGTGTTGGGGATAAAGAATGTATGGAGCTTGGTACAGGGGCACATGCCTGTAACCCCAGAACAAGGGAGGCTGAAGCAGGGGTATTCTAAATTGGACACCTTTCTACTAATAATTTTTCTGGAGAGTTTTCTAGGCAAATGGCTCAGCTCTCACCCCTTCTTCGCCTTCTACTCCTTTCTAGAAACAATCTCATCTGGTTTCTAACCACCACTCCAACTGTCAAAGCCTCACTTCAGTATCTCTATTAATAAAATGGCACTCCATAGCCCTTATCATAACGAGCTTTCAGTCAGACAATATGGACCTTGGTTTCTCAAAAACCCAACCCTCAAGTTGGGTGTTGGTGGCACACACCTTTAAGTCCCAGCACTCAGGAGGCAGAGGCAGGTGGATCTCTGTGGGTTCAAGGCCAGCCTGATCTACAGAATGAGTTCCAGGACAGGCTCCAAAGCTACACAGAGAAACCCTGTCTTGAAAAACCAAAAAATCAAACCAAACCAAACAAACAAGAAAACCAACCAAACATACCCAACTCTCTCTTGGTTCCCAGGACAGCCTGGTCCTCCTTCTGTGGCTCTGCCATCAGTTTCCCTGCTTTTTGACTGACATTTCAATGCAATAGCTTCTCAAGCCTGGGCATAAGGACAGCCAGCTTCACTGAGCTGGCTAAGGACTCAGTGAGCCAAGGAAGCACGCAGTGAATGCTGGGTAAATATTTGCTGTGACATTCAGTTGAGTTCATCTCTCCCAAGGCTTCAAGGGTGGTTCCAAAGATATCATCATGTTAGAGCTCTACACATCTGGCTGCTCATCTTCAGACTACCTCTGGTGGCACAGAAACATCTCACATTCTCCCCTAACTTGGCTTACAAAGGATCATGGGCTAGTTTGAGAATCCAATTAAATCTTTTTTCTTCTCACAAAACTTTACCTATTATTCTGCATATGTCTTGAAACCATTTGTGGATCCCAAGTTAAAGACTGACATCGTAGTGGATATGTCACTTGAGCTGGCTTGACAGAGAGAGAGAGAGAGAGAGAGAGAGGGGTAGAATTTCCCCTGATAGATAGGCATGCCAAGCAGAAAGGGCAGTTGGCAAAAGTGAGGTGCCATAAGAGCATGGCAGGATGGCCAGGTCAGAGAGAGGAGTTCACAGTCCAAGGCCATGTTCAGTTCTTGCCCTTGATAGACAAAAGAGCTGTAAACATTTGGAAGGCAGAGAGACGCTACTAAGGAAACCCTGGCATGAGGTATGTTCCTATAATCCAAGCACTAGGAATGCGGGACAGAAAGATCAGAGCTTACAGTTGTCATAAACTACTTGATGATTTCAAGTCCAGCCTGGACTACAGGAGATCCTGTTTCAAAGAAAGAGGAGGAGGAGAAAGAGGGGAGGAGGAGAAGACGATGACCCAGCAGCAGCAGCAAACATTTACTGAGTGAGTTCTGTGTGCTTTATACCTAACTTGACCAGAATAGAAAGGGAAAACACCAGAAAAAATGAGCCAACTATTATAGTATGTTTGATACCTAAACTGAAATTTAAAGTATACAGGGTAGACAGCAAATGCAAGGCTAAGGGACATGAATTGAAACTTCTGTCTCAAATAATATCACTTTACATTTTAATTTAAGTTTACTAGTGATGCATTAAGAATTCTTTAAACAATGTTGTCCTGTTATAGCAATGGCCTCTAGTGACAGGCAGAAAGTAGAAGCTTGGGTGTGGTGTCTCTATATCAACTGGCCCTTCCTAGGAGTCTGTGGTAGCTTCCACACTAGCCTGACTCCTGGGGTGAAGCCACTCCTCAAAGTCAATGCTACTCCCCCTTCTCCAAGGCAAGGCCCTTCCTGCAAACATCTGCTTTAGGAGAGCCCTGCAAGTTAAAAATTAGTGGGACAGCATTTGCTTCACACCAACCACAAAAGAGCAGGTAAATCTTGCCTTGTTTCTTCTATTCATGGTTCAGCTAACCATGGGAGAGCAGGTGGGAACCAAGGATGGTCACCACAGTTGATAAACGATAGGGCTGTGACATAGTGAACGAATTCTTGTCTACTATGTGTGAGGCCTTAGGTAGGAACCTCAGCACCACCAAAGTTAGGAAAGTAACTAAATTGGCAAGTTTCATACCAACAGAATTGGAAGCAAAAGCGAGGGTGGGTGGGGGTGGGAGGCTTCAAATAAAGTTACTCCTCCACCATGATTTCACAGTTGGGTAACAGGGAAAGCCCACTGTGGGAAGAATGCAGGTCCAGATTTTGGATAGGGGTGGCAGGAGGTTGCAAGGAAGTTCGGGTTGGAGGGTGGAAGAGTTTGAGGGATGAATTCTTGGGCTAGGTCAGAACTGAGGCCCATTCTGGAACAGGCCTCTCTCCCTGTCCTCAGCAGATTGCCAAATCCTAAAATTAGCTTGAAACCTTTCCACCCATCAGGAATTGTAAGGTCTTCTGTAGTTCGGGTAACCCCTGACCTCTATCAGGATTTCTCTAGATAGAAGACACTCTTTCCTACTGGGCATCCTGGATGTGGTGCTGACTGTGCACAGGAAAATCCTCTAGATAGGGGCTGGGTGGGAACCATGACAGGACATTCGTATCTGAAAGCACATTCTTTTGTCCTACTCAGGAAAACTGCTGTTGGGAGAGGGCTAATTAGCCTCCAAAGGCTTGAGCTAAATACTTGAGTCCTTTGAAGCACACGAGACCTGGATCACAGCATCCTGAGGGTACCCAAGGCTGGGGGGGGGGGTGGAGAAGCGGCTCAGCAGCTCATTATAAGTGGGCTATGTAGTCTTAGCGGGCTTCGGAGAGTCTTTTCAGTGCCAGGCGTCCCACCCTCTCCACCTGCCTTCCTCATCTCCAGGGCTAGACTCCTGAAGGCTCCGGAGCTACCATAGTTCCCCAGCCGATGGAAACAAGTGCAGGAGCATTTATATCTGACAGGGAATAATGGCTGAACCTGGTATCAGGACCACGGGGCTGCGGGGCTGAGAGGGATGACCCTGAGCCTTGGGTCCCATCACCTTCCACTCCCCGGTAGGGCCCTTCTCGCCCCTCCCCTCTCTGCCCCAGGCAGTCAGGGACCCTGCAGCTAGCCGGCAGATACCGAGTCCCAGCTCCGATACTGTCTTAGTGGTTACGGCTTCTAAGAGCAGAGTGCTGAGCTCCCGCCCCGCCTGATCCGGCTCACCCTCCGGTCTCGGCACCCGAGTCCACGCAGTCCTCCTCCTCACCGCCGGCCTTCGGGTTCATGGCGCGCGTGCCCGCCGCGCTCCCTCGGCCCCGGGTCCCTCTGAGCGCCTCGTACCCGGGCCCCGCAACCACCCGACCTCGCGCGCCAGCCGCACGCCGCGCCCTCTCGCGGCCGCGCCCTCCTCGCCCTCGGCTCTGCGCTGGGCGGGCGCGCTCGAGTACCACCAGGCAAGGACCCGAGCGTGTGCACGGGATGCGCGCGTGTGCACGATCGCAAGCGTGAGTGGGGGAGGTGTGTGAGGTGGCCTATCTCTATAAGCGTGGGGTGTAGTGGGCGTGCAGTGTTTAATCTTGCACCCACTTGGGTGAATGCCCGGCGGCTGTGCTTTCTATAGTGACTGGTGCAGGCAGTATGGGAGTGTACGCAGCAAAGCTGTCCTTCGCTGGGCCCACAGTAAAGAGCCCAGAGTCCCCGGGCTTGCGAACAGTACCAGGAAAACACCCAACCAGCACAACCAGGGCAGGGTAGAAAGTCTCTCCATTTGAGGACCAGTTAAAACACCTGGGTGTTTTCCTTCAGGTTCCTCGGTACTACAGAAGCTGAGTTCATTAACGCCTTGCTTAACCTGCCAACCCGTCAGAATGGCTTCTCACTGACCCAACTTTCCAGCGCATGCATTCTTTTGTTACCTGTTTCAAAATAGTACGAAGAGAGCTGGATGAACCTGCATTCAAGGAACCTGGAAGCAAGAGGGTCGTGGATGTTGTTAAACCCTGCCATCCCTCGGGGTGGTTTAAGGATTGAGGAAGCGGGTCATCTTCATTTTAGTAGGTTGAGGTGAGGCAGCTTGGTACTGGTGGGGTAAGAACAACTTACACTTAATTCTGGTGCTGTTGTCACTAGAACACATGGAAGTCACTTATTTGTGTGTTCGAGTCTCTTCTGAAGGGCAGCCCTGAGGAAAGAACCGGTGGACGTGAGCATGCTCTTACCACGCAGCTATAACTCAGACACCTCAGACAAGTTATTTAACCTCCTTGAACTTTAATTTCTTCACCTATTAGGCTACTGCTATCTTTCCTGTATCTCCATTGTAGGTTACAGGAGTTCGTGTCTGTAAAACAGTTTGTGAGTCCGATATATGCCAGGTTCAAGGAGCTGTCAGCGTCACAGGAGAAGCCTACTAGCTGAAGCCCCACTCTCAACTTGCACCCAGTGTCACTCCTGTGTGACAAGTGATGAAGAGCAATACTGTTTCTTTCCTTTTTTCCTCTCTCCTTCCCTGCTCTTTCTTCCCATTTTACATAATTGCCATTGCTCTCTGATTCTTATGAAAGAGAAAGGCCGTAAACAGAAGCAGAGTAGAAATGCAATCTCACAATCAGGGAAAAACAAACAAACAAACAAAAACATAGGTGAGTGTGACCAGTCCAAGTCTGAATAACCTTTCCTAAACCTAAAATTCTTTCCCCCAAACAAGCAAAAATGGATATGTTATATTCAGTTTGGTGCTCATTAGTTTAAACAAAGAAGATATATATATATATATATTTCCTTCTTCTACATATTGATTCCAGTTCCCTCTCCTTCCTTCCCTCCCATGTCCCCCAACTCCCCTTCCATCCCATTCCCCCCACTCCACAGGGAGGGTGATGCCTAAAGAAGCAGTTCTTTAAGGGAAACATGTTGTGTAATATAACTTTAACTATGTGAAGGTGTGTTACATTTGTTTATACTGAGTTTGTTTAATGATGTAAAGATGTGTTGCATTTGCTTCACCTTGCCTGCCCAACGCACCTCACTGATCTAATAAAAAACGGAATGGCTAATTGCTAGGCAGGAGAGAGAAAGGCAGGGTTGATGGGTAGAGACAATAATTAGGAGGGGGAAAAATCTAGGCTTGAGAGAGAAAAGGAGAAGAGAATGAGGAAGAAAAAGAGGGACACACCTGGGACCGGAAGCCAGGCAGCTGCCATCCAGATGTGGAGCAGCAGGAAAGTAAGATATACAGAAAGAAAGTTAAAAAGCCCTGAGGCAAAATGTAGATAAACAGATTAAAATAAGAGCTAAGCTAAGTACAAACATTCAAAACAAATAAGCCTCCGCTTCATGATTCGGGAGCTAGTTGGTGGCCCAAAACAAAAAGACATGCCAATTTACGGTGTTGTGGTTTTAATCTGAAAATGTCCCCTGAAATCTCATGTGTTGAGAGCTTGGAGATCCGTTGATGGGCTTTTTTGAGAAATGGTTGGATCATTAAGGCTCTAACCTCATCTGTAGATCATTCCCTGGATGAATTAATAGTTAATTGGACTAGAAGGTGGGGCCCAGCTGGAGGAAGTAGGTCACTGGAGATGTACCTGTTCCCACCTCTACTCTGCCACACACACCCTCTGTGACATGAGGCTGAAAAACGTGGAGCCTAGCGACCTCAGACAGAAACTTCTGAACCTGTGAGCCAAATGAAACCTTTCCTGTTTTTTTTTTCCAATAACGAATCAAAGTGCATTGCATAACACATTAAAGATAACCTCTGAGACTCCAGGACACACTGGTCTCACATTAAGGAATGAAGACAAAGCAATTCTTAATTAAATTTGATGATGGGGAAGACCGACCTTGAATTCTCCACTTCTATCTCCGTTCTTCTGCTCATAGTTTGTGGTTGCCAGCCTGTCTGTGATCTGGCTGTTGTGTGTCTGTGTGTGATGCTTGTGGTTTGTGTCTGTCCCTAAGAAAGGGCTTTGCTCTGTGCTTCCAGAGAAGCACAGGAAGCATTGCATTGGGAGAGGGATGAGTGATTCTCTATAGAAATCTTTAAAAGAGTTTTAGCAGGCACGAAGTCACCTTACCAACCCAGAACACTGAAGAGCACACCAAATATGTTATCAGGCTATATCCACAGGTTCTTTTCAACATTTATGAGGGATGTTTGTTGTATAAGGTTGCTTTCAAATTGTTTTCAAATTGCTCAGCAAGGGCACACATGTATCTTAACTCTCTCTTCACTGTCTGCAGAAACCTGTTTTTTTTCCCCCCTGTGTGGAGATCCAGAAATTCACCCTGTCTGTTCTCAAGATTCATGCCAGAGAGATCTTTGGCTCTTGTGGGTATCCCACTGTTGAGGTTGATCTCTGCACCTCAAAAGATCTCTTCTGAGCTGTGGTGCCTCCATGCCATCCATGAGCTCTAGAACTATGTGACAGTAAGACATGCCATATGGGGAAGGTGGTCTCAAGCCCTGTTGAGCACATCAATAAAACTATTGCACCTGCTCTGGGTAGCAAGAAACAATATTGTGGAACAAGAGAAGATTGACAAACTGTTGATTGAGATGGATGGCACTGAAAATAAATATAAACTTGGTGCAAATACCATCCTGGGAGTGTCCCTTGCTGTCTGCAAAGCCGGTGCTGTGGAAAAGGGGGTTCCTTTACTGTCACATCGCTGACTTGGCTGGCAACCCTGAAGTCATCCTGCAAGTCACAGCTTTCAATGTGATCAATGGTGGTTCTCATGCTGACAACATGCTGATCCTGCAAGACTTCATGATCCTGTCTGCAGGGGTGTCCAGTTTCCAGGGAGCCATGTGCACTGAAGCAGAGGTTTACCACAACCTGAAGAATGTCATCAAGGAGAAATAAGAAAAGGATGGCACCAATATAAGTGGCGAGGATAGGTTTGTGCCCAATGTCCTGGAGAACAAAGAAACCCTGGAGCAGCTGAAGGCCACAACTGCAAAGGCTGACTACACTGACCAGGGTGTCATGGACATGGACACGGTTGCCTCTGAGTTCTTCAGGCCTGGCAAGTATGACCTGAACTTCCTGTCTCCCATGACTCCAGCAAGTACAGCATTCCTGACTAGATGGCTGATCTGTAAAGTTCTCCATCTGGAGTACCCAGTGGTGTCCATTGAGGACCCTTTTGACCAGGATGACAGGGAAGCTTGGCAGAAGTGCATGGCTAGTGCAGGCCATCCAGGTGGTTGGGGATGAGCTCATGATAACCAACCCTAAGTGGATTGCCAGGGCCATGGGTGGGAAGTCCTGCACCTGCCTCCTGCTCAAAGAGAACTGGATCTGTCTCTGGAACCCAGTCTCTGCAGGAGTGTAAGCTGGCCCAGTCTAATGGGTGTCATGGAGTCCCATCACTCTGGGGACACTGAAGATACTGTCATCGATAACCTGGCAGTGGGGTTCTACACTGAGGAGATCAAGACTGGTGCCCCTTAGCCAATCCAGAGCTTGGCTAAGTACAATCAGATCCTTAGAATTGAGGAAGATAGGGGCAGTGATGCTGAGTTTTCCAGCAGGTCCTTCAGGAAGCCCCCGGCCAAGTAAATAGTGGGCTGGAGATCCTTGGAGGCCCCAGCTGCTTAACCCTTTCTCTGATGTCATCAGGGTGGCTCAAGGCCAACCCAGTGCTTGGCCCTCCCATGCCAGTTCAAAGCTTCTGACTACCTGGAGCCCTGCTGGAAACTCCAGCTTTGTCTAGAGTCCCATGTCATCTCTAGGGTGAGCATAGGCAAGAACCACCCCCCCATGGGTCTACATGCAAAATAAAAGCCTCAGTGACTCATAAAAAAAAAAAAGAATTCACTAAAAGTGGCTTACAGCCAGTGGCTGTCTTCTGACAGAAAGACCAAGAATCCAGTAGGTTTTGAATCTGTGAGACTGTTTCAGCAGTCCCAATCTAGTGCTAGAGCCTGGGAGGATCCCTGCAAAGCTCTTGGTCTTCAGTCTAGATTGGAATCACAAAGAAGTAGGTTGTAATGGCAGGGAAGGAATACCTCAGCAATAGAATAGATGGACTTGCCTTTGAAAGTGAGGACATGCAGGCAAAAAGCAAAAGCTTCCTTCTTCCATGTCCTTTTATGTGGGCTGCCACCAGAAGGTGTGGTTCAGGTTTAGGGTAGGTCTTTCCACCTTCAAAGGTCCAGATGAGGTAATCCCTCATAGTCTTGCCAGACTACATAGGTTTCAGGTGATGTAGAGATTAGCCATACCACAATCTGTTGCTTGCTTTCAGCACATGATAATCACAACACACAAAAATATACATATATTACTCTGGGTTGGGGCAAAGAAGAATACATAACATAAATTGAAGTTATGCATTAGTTTAAGTTGTAAAAGCCAATTAAATGGGAAATCCAAGACAAGTAAGGTTGGTTACCCTGACTCTTAAAGGCAGGGTTGGGAGGATGGGGTATTTTTAACTTTGCTGTGAGGTCTGCCAAAAGTTCAGCCTCTTTGGGGTCAAGTGATACTTCCAAAAAAGTAACTACTTTACTTTTACTCTCTCTCTCTCTCATTCTCTCTCTGTCTCCCACTCTCCCTCCCTCCCTATCTATCTATCTATCTATCTATCTATCTATCTATCTATCTTCTATCTAATCTTTCATGTATACACACAGGCACCCGGGCATACATGCACATGTGTGGAGGAGGTAAGAGGAAAACTTTTAGAAGTTGTTTTTATTTTACCATGTGGGTTTTTGCTGGGGCTCAAGTTGCCAGGCTTGGGGGCAAGCACCTTTACTCTCTGAGCCATTTCACTGGCCCTTCTTATAAATTGTAGCAGAAGGGGCCACTTGCAGACCCATGGAGTGTGTAGCTTGTCTTCAGACCCTGTTTTGCCATCTCCTGGCCACCATTAAGTGAGACATTTGCTCCATACCACAACACTTAGCCTTAGCGTAGCCAGAAAGACATGTAGCCAGCTAATCACAGATAAAAAAGGTCCCAAACCCTGAGTTTCCTATTATTGTTTATTTTGGTTATATTTTTCAAAGTCACAGAAAAGCAGCTAACACACACAGATTTCTAAAAACCAATTTCAAATACACAGTGAGGAACACTGCGAAAGGCTTGAAGTTATCATTTAGTAATCCTTCTCAGGTAGTTAATTACCAATCAAGAGGGTGAACTTGCATATGCAAATGCAAGAAATCTACCAATAGATGAGATTCCTACCACCCTGGGTATGATAATCCAGAGAGAGTGACTAATTAAATAAATAATCTTGTTTAAGTGTGTGTGTTGTGAAAGAGAGGCAGAGACGGACAGAGATAGAGACAGAGAGGTGGAGTGGGGTAGGGTGCATCCCTACCATCTTGCCATGAAATGAAGGAAAGGAATCATGTACTCTGAAAAGAAAGATCAGAATAAAAATTAGTGTCGGTAAAGCCCTCTTTGGAAAGGACTTGGAGCCCTGTTATGCCTCAGGGCCCGTGCATGTCTGTTTCTTGCCCCAAGTTCCCTGTCTGGAACACTTCCTCTATGACTAAACTTCTGTGACAGTCTTCTGTGAATGATAGGGTCACTGCCCCTCCTTTCCCCATGCCTGTCCCTGATTCCATGAGAGAAGGACCATCTTTTTTTTCTGTACCTTGCTGTGCTCCTAATAACTGGGACCATTTTTATATGAGAGCAAGAACCATGTATTGAGCAAGCAGGTAGAAACAGCTCCTATGCACATGGGGGAAGGAGGCTGAGACTCCTAGTAGGGATGAGCACAGAGTTGCACGCCAAGCAATTCAGTTAGGAAGAAGTGGCTGGGGCTGCCCAAAAAGATGATGGCAGCAGTTAGATGCTCATGATTGTGGCATTCATGAATTCACCAGTAGATAAGCTGCCACTTGGAAAGCAGGACACATGAAACATTCATGAATCCAGGTTAAACAGAATGGCAAGAGTGGCAAAGTAAGAAGTCTTGACAAGCACCCCACCATCTTGTTAGCCTCACAACCACGAGGAACCCACTTTTCTAGGAACATTTTGAGCCCATCTCTTATTTAACCCCAACAAATCCCTGAGGAGTAGCTGCATCTCCCCTTTTTGCTGTCAAGGAAATTAAACTCTGTTGCATCCAAATACCTTGTCTCTGGTCTCCCTGTGGTAAGTATGGAGCCAGAATGCTGTCCATTGAAGCTATCCAAGGGACAGTAGCAGGGGAAGAAGCACCTGTAGTGACACCAAGGAACAGGCAAGAAAGAAGAACCTGGAACATGAGATGACACTTACATGAGCTCAGTCTTTCCCTGTGTCCCACATAAGGCCAGGCAGGACCCAAACTCTGGACCACATCACAAAGTGATGCTTTGGAATCAGGTTTCCTTGCAGAGGGCAAAAGTGTTCCCATGGGCTGGCAACTGGGAGATGCAATTCTGTTTGTGAGAAAGGCTGGAACGGTGTCACAGCCTCCAGTCATTTTCTGGCAACTTCCGACCCCAAGGCTTAGGAGCCTTGTTGATTGTGATTTGGGGGGGAAGAGTTGTAGGTGAGCAATTGACTGAAGAGCTGTGTGCTGATTGGCACAGGGAATTTAATCTCATGGGGCCCCATCTCCATCTCCAAGCTACTTAATGTTTATGACTGGACTCATATGCAATGCCTTCTCTCTTCACCTGTAGGAAGAAGTCAGGGGAACGTTACTGGTCAGTTCTGGTTGTATTTCCTGCTGTCCTAAAGAGATTTCATTCCAAGCCTGAGGACTGTCTTGAGATAGATACTGAGGCATGGCTGGAAGTATAGCCAGTCAGCACATATGGCCCTGGCTTTGGGCCTGAGCCACTGTGATTAAATGCTGGACACTTTGGTATAGCATTAATTCCAATAACTACTTAACGTTTCCACTGGCCTTAAAATGGGGTTGTTGGTCTGAAAATTAAAAGAAGCTCCAGGTCCTTTAAAACTATAAAAATTACGAACACAAGCTATCACTCAGCCTCCCATCGTCATTTCTCATAATAGTTTAAATCACTCATATCATGTGTCGCTTGGACTGCTCCATTCCATCTCTCCTGAGACTGCTGCATGGCTAAGAAAACAAAGCCATTCATTCATTCATTCATTCATTCATCCATCCATCCATCCATTCATTCAGTGTATACTCAGTGTTCTGGGCAGTAACTGGTGCCTGGGGCCCATTGGGAAACAGTCAGACCTCATTTCTGGCTTTGTAAAGTTTTGGAATCAGGAGAGCTCATTTATCAGGCTTCGCATCCT